CCTCCAGGAAATTGCCACGTTGCAGTCACACATTCAACCAATCCTTGCAAATTCTGGGTGGCCTTGCATTTCTGTCCACATGCATATTTAATCAGTCTTCTCAGAAACAGTTGCAACTATTTTTGGCAAATTCACCTGCCCCTGCGATTTCATTGAAAACATGAAGCCTCAGGACGTTACAATTTTTCTTAAAAAAGAAAAGGGCCGTTGCAGAATCAGGCAACAATCACAGCAAAGCCTTTTTAAATTCTGAAAGAACTGATTTTAATATTTTCAAACCACTTTTGTGAGTTTTAGGATCTAAGACTTTCTGTAATTTGGAAATAAGCATTGCTTATCACTTTGTGTTTATGTCCTGGCTTCATAAGATGGGCAACTTCTTCTGTTGGAACTTGGAGCTGGCTAATAAATGAAAATACAAAAACAACCTGCTCTGCACAGGCTGTGATCCTTTGGTTCATAATTAATGATTCATGCTGACACAACCCTATTTGCATGACTTGCCTTCAGGTGACTCGTAGGGACGATGAGTTTTGTGGTTGAGACTTTTGGACTTTTGGTGGAAGTAATAACGTGTTACAGACTTCCTAGGTTAGAAATCTGATGTCTGTAGGCATTCCTGTATTTTTTTTTTGTGTGCTTTTTTTTCAGTTTTTATGCTTCATTGTTCTCCCTAAGGACAAGACCAATGTCATACCCCCCCCCCCACACACACACACACACACACACACATACACACACACCCCCACACTCCTCTACAAACCTTATAACACACAATATTCTGCATACAGACACAGATACTCACAGCCCATAGGGTTTTGTAATGAGACACAGCCTTCTGCCAGCCTCCCACTTTGTGCATGTGTGTCTTATGATTTGCATTATTATTGGTGCTGTGTTGTACTCCATGAATGCCAATGTGTCACAGTGCATTTCTGAAGACTCTCTGTATTTCCTCTCCCTCTTTTCTCGTGTTGTTGTCCTCGCCCAGTTTCTCTCTCTCTACATTTCCTCGGCCCCGTCCTCCCCGCCCTCTCTCTCTCTGTTTTAACCCACACCTGCAGTTTCCTCCTCCTGCGAGTCTCTCAGCCAATCTCCATCACACCACGTACATCAGCAGGAGGGAGAGATGAAAAGCAAGAGGGAGGGAGGGAGGGAGGGAATGATGGTGAATAAAGAGGAGGAGAGAAAGAGAGACTGAGAATCAGAGGCGTTAAAACGGAGGAGGGAGTAATAGAAGGAGAGAGGAAAGTGAGTGACAGAGAAGTGAGCTAGATGAAGAGGAAGATAGAGGAGATGGGGGAAGGAGAGCATAACGGGAATAGAAGAGAGACAGATGAAAAGATAGATGAAAGAAGGTATTCATGGAGGAAAGGACAGGTGGGACAGAGGGAGGGAACATGATGTGTGTGCCGTAGAACTGTCAGTAAGCGTGGGAGACAGAATGGCAACTGAAAACCTCTATAGGACTGAATCAGCTCTCATTTTGTGGCCCCCTTTAATCTTCTCGTCTCTCCTTAATGTCCCTCACCAACTGCACATCTGTGTCTAACAAGATTCAATTGCTGCCCTCATACTCAGTTTTTTAGTTTCCTTCATCACAGAGTTAAGAGGTTAGTTTGAAACCACTGTCCATATCTGAATGTTTTTTTAGTCTGTCTGGATGTTAACTCATCCTCCATTTTTATTTCGCTGCAGTTTAAGAGTTTTCAAGAATTCATTCTAGTACTATGGAAAAGTTTTAGGACTGTCTGGAGACAGATTCTAATAAATAAAATATATTTTTTAAAAGCAATATTTTCTGACCTTAGGTTCACTGGCACGCCGGCCAAGCTCCAATAACACTGAATCCTACATTTCCCATAATGCAGCTTGGAAATGTAATTAATAACAATTTTGGAAATGCTTAAATATTTATTTTCCAATAAGCCCTCAAGTGCTCCCACCTTTAAAGCAGGAGGATGTTTCCTTACTTTTCAGACGGTTGCATTTATCACTTTTTTTTCCTTTTGGCCAGACAATGTGAGCACTTATAGACATCACTTCAACCTCTTGGAATTAGAGATGGTAGTGTGTTGTTATTTTAGTATACTACATGATACATTTTGATGATAACTCGAAGGTCTCGAACACTCAGAACCCAAAAAGTTTTACTCGGTCTTATCTCGGTCTCAAACTTTGTGGATTCCTGTTTTTAAATCAAGATCGGTCAAGACCACCACTGAAAGGCTATGTAGCTTGATTTTTATCCCCCAGTTACAGCCAGAGTGTGTGAGTGACACACAAGATTATTTATGGTCTTGTCTCAGTCTCTCCCTGCACTTGGTCTTGACTCGATCTCGATCCCTAAATGTCTTGGTCTTGTCTCAGTCTCTCCCTGGTCTTGGTCTTGACTCGATCTCGATCCCTAAATGTCTTGGTCTTGTCTTGGTCTCTCCCTGGTCTTGGTCTTGACTCGATCTCGATCCCTAAATGTCTTGGTCTTGTCTTGGTCTCTCCCTGGTCTTGGTCTTGACTCGTTCTCGATCCCTAAATGTCTTGGTCTTGTCTCTGTCTCGGAGCACTCTGATCTGATGGGTATGTCTTGGTCTCTCCAGAGTGTTGTAGTCCAGTAGTGCAGCTGAAGTACAAAGTTGGACGTAGACTACAAAACTTTTGGAAATAGACACAGCATGAATGAATGATTTGAAGTGTTCTGTCTTAAAGAGATTTCCTCATGACATATCTCACCAGCAGTCCTCTCTTTCTATTTTTCTTTGTCCACTCTGAAAAAGTCTTCTTGATTCTTTACACTAATTTAAAGCAAATGAAAAAGAAACTGTGTATTTAAAAATGACCACAATCCATCCATTCAACCACATTATGACTTCTTTCTCTCTGCATTCTTCACCTAGGGTCAGTGGGAAAATATGGAAACACATACATCTTACTTAAGAAGTAATTACAAAGACATTTGTCTGACATGATCTGAAACATATATATGGTAACAGTTCATTAAAGGGCTTGTTGACTTTTCATCTTCGGCGTCATCTCTCCTTATCCTTTCACATTTTCTCCCTCTCTCTGCCTCTGGCGAAGTAACTGCGCTGACAGCCACATTCAGTTTCTCCTCCTCCCTGCTTTGTACTGTCATTCATCATCAGTGTCATTCAGCTCTCCCCCTCCACATGGCACAACATCTGTTTGGGAGTGTTGCGCTCGGCCCCGTTGAAAAGGATTCAGATAAACTGTGCGATGAGAAATCTGGAAGCAGTTACACCTCTTTATGCCTCCAGTCAATTTACGTGCCCACCCCTGAACACAGCGTGTGACTGCAGTGAAAGTTGAAAAGCTTTGCAGCACACAACATATCAGATATTTGTATTTAAAAAACAATCTTTATTCTGGAAACATGCAGGTAATGCAAATGGTGGAAATAAGTATGTCACTATGACTCAGTCCTATCAAAGAAAATGTATAAAAACCAGTGCAGCAGTAAGTGGGTGTGGCTTAGATGTAACAAGGAGTCTTAGTGACCTCTTGGTCACACAAAACTAAAACACCAAGGAGCCATTTTTTTCAAGATTTATTCAAGGACTTTTGCCTTTATTTTGATAGGACAGTGGACAGAGTATGAAATTGGGAAAGACAGTAGGGAATGACATGTAATAAAGGAGCCACAGGTTGGATGAATCAGCGTCTTCTGCTTGGATATATATAGGGGGCGCAACCGTACCGCAGGGTCAATTGGCGCCCAAGAAACCGCTTCTCTTAGGAAAACAAGCCGAACATTTTTGCAGTATTTGGTTGATGATTAGTGTTGGTTGAGGAGTTCGGCTTTGTGATAATAAACCTCTAGCTCAACCTTAAGAGACATTTATCAATGCATTCATAGCTTTGAGGCATAAAGTGCTATCTCAGCTCACACAGTGTGTGTATGCTAACTGGTAAAGTTAGCTGTTGTCTGGGGAGTCTAGATGTCAAATCTTAATGTGAACCGCAACAAAATCAATCTTTAGAAATGGTGTCAACATTTTCTTTTATATGAATTTGTTTTTGTTGAGATTTTTTTGCTTTTTCACACTCCCTACTTTGACATCAAATATTCCATTTGACTATTTAAGCCAAATTTATAGAGGCTCTATGTCACGAGTGTGCTTTCAGATAGGCCTTTTTTTTCATTCTTCAGTGGATCTGTGCACCACTCTGCAGCTCAAATCTGTGCAGTTGAACTACTGTAAAGAAATGTAAAAATGTCTCTGCTTTCCACTTTCCGCTACAATGTTTTCATATGCCGACCAGTTTGGCTTATAATATTTCAAAGACTTAAATGTAACTGAAAAAAACAAAAACAAGCCGAGCACAATGGTGTCTTGTTTAGCTGACGTATATTTAGTTAAAGTGGTGTGTGTGTGTGTGTGTGTGTGTGTGTGTGTGTGTGTGTGTGTGTGTGTGTGTGTGTGCGTGTGTGCGTGTGTGTGCGTGTGTGTGTGCGTGCGTGTGCGTGTGTGTGTGCGTGCGTGCGTGTGTGCGTGTGTGTGTGTGTGAGAAAGTGTGTGTGCGTGCGTGTGTGTGTATGTGAAGGTGTGTGTGTCCTTTGAAGACTGTTGTTTAGATTCAGGATGTTCTGTCCCCCATTTGTACTGAAGTGTGAAACCCTGCATTTCATTATGATTAAAATAATTCACAGTGTTAAAAATCAGTCGAGAGAACAGTAACTCAAGCTCACTGGCATTATTAAAATGCATCAAAGAGATGACTGAGGGCTGCTTGGATGTGTGTTTTCTCGCAGGAAAGAAGCAGGTGTTCCTGTGATCCGGCTCACACATGGAAACAAAAAGTGACAATTGTTTTTGTTGCCAGATTCTGCGCTGTGCTCAAAGTCGACTTCAGAACAAATCAGTGGCATTCTGACGGAGTGAAAATATATTTTTTAAATAGCACAGTTTTGGAAAACAAAGGATCACTCTTCTCACTGCGTTGCTGATTCTTAATCTGATTCTTTCTGTCTGTTCCTGCAGATGGTGACGGATCCCAGGACCACCTCCTCCCTGTGTGTTTGGATGAAGCCTGTAAACGCAGTGCCATCTACCTGGCAAAGCCATACTCCAAGACGGTACGGTGACCACATGTGACCATAGTGTGTTAGAAGTAATTATGATAGATTAGCTAGTTTCTGTCTCAGTAAACCACTTTATTTTTTTCTATTTATCACTCTTCTTTGAGCCTTACTCAGTTTTAAATTCTTTCTTTATTCAACCTTATGTTAAAATCTGTTCAGCTTGAGAACACTGTTCACTGCTCAGTCTGACTCTGCTTTTCTGCTTTGTTCTGAAATGCTCTGCATATGTCATCTTTTCTACTAGTTTTTTTCCACTGTCTTACAATTAGCATAGACTGGACAGCAAAAACATAGATGTCACTTTGACTGAATATAAAGGACTCATACTCTACATAACTGTATTAATATATGGTTGAGTTAGTAACTCATAAGGAATGAAAGTCTCTTAAGTTTCTTACAAATAGCATGAACACTGTGGACAATTTCCATAAGGGTCCCTCATTAATCGATTTATTAAATCTTTGATAAAAATCTATGAATGGATATTTACTATTAATGTATGGTATCATATCACATTTAACCAAAACCTTCAAATTATAACGCTGTTGGGAACAAGTTTTCTATTTCTGTCTCTAACTCATTCTTATCAATTTATTTACTCTTACCAACAATAACACATTAAAAACACATGGACAGAGTTAAGGAATCATTTGTAAGCCAGAAGATAACAGCAAAAATGTTGCATTTGAAAGAAGTGTTCAAGAATTATTCCTGAAGTCGTACAGTGAAAGAACTTAAGGCAGAGTTGAGTATGGTGGCTGATAAGTGCAAATGCGCTGCAACATTTCAAATGATTTTCATCAGGGAGAAGTATCTGCAAATTCAGAACTGATGCAAAATAAAAAATGCATTCTTAAATATATTACTGCAACAACGTAAACATGCTGCAAACATTCTGCAAAAGCAAGATCAAAAACACTCAAAAAAACAGAACACACATGCAAGAGAAAATTTCAAAATGCCAGTTTACCTGCGCTGCTCCTATGAGATGCCATCTGTCCACTGTGCTTGGTTACATCCAGGTAGTAGAGCAGGCCCTTTAACCAGAGCTGACGAACTGTCTAGCGGCAGGTGGCTGCGATACAGCTAAGACACAACATTTGACAGGCATTGTGGGTCTCCATTGATAAAAAAAATACTGGGTAGTAATTGTGGCTAACAAGGGTGATGGCATTAAAACGTTTAATCAAGTGTCACGGCTATGTACAGGTACCTTGAAATATAGACCTCCTTATCACACTAATGGACCCTACCATTGTTCCTGACTTCTTAAAGAGTGTACTTGCATCTGCAGAAAAATGTACCATAGCCCTGCTAAGTCCAGAGTCTTTGTTTCGGTGAAGACAACCTTGATCTTGCCCATTCTGTTCTCCTTTAAGTTCTTCATCACTTCTTATTTGAGCTCTTCTTTGGAGGAAACCCAACTCACCAGTGGCTCCAATGCAAGCCAGAGCACAATGGTTAGTCTATTTCAGGGCGGCATTAAGCACGCTGCTCGCTGTGGGTTAGGGGGCTCTTTGCTTAGAAAGACATCGGGCTGATTCAACGGGTGTCACTTTGTGTGCAGAGGCATGCCAGAGAGAGGTAATAGATATGCACACACACATGCAGTCCCGTTTGTCAGATTAATGTACACACACAGAATACATGTGCACAGACACTTTCCCTCACAGTTGCTCCTACACTTATATGAACACACACACAAACACAGCATCACAACCTACGTACCATCTTGTGTGCTTCTTTTCCTTTAACAGCCTACCATTTGGCAGGAGGCGTCCCTCCTTTTTTCCACCCTCCTCTCTCACCACAGAACCAGCTTCTGTGTCTAAAATAGAAATATTACAAGCTTATCTGCATGTCCGCCCCCACACACACACACACACACTTAGAGACACACAGATGCACGGTCCCTGTGGACATGCGTTCTTTTGTTTGCCTGTCAGCAATGTACAAAAAAAAAAAAAAGATTGAAGACGGACGTGAAAGGAGGAGTAAGGAAGGGAAGGGGAGGAGGAGGGAGGAGGACTTCTCTGCACTGATGACTGAAATGAACACATGTTTTCTTCTGTGTCACTGTGTTTGAGAGACAGCGATCACTGTAAGAGAGACAGGTGGAGTGAGGAGGAAACTAGCCCCTTGTTCAGCTCATGCCTTGATTAAACACTGCTAATAATTTACAATCATAACGATAAGCCTTTTAAAACTCACACAAAACATACATGCAGTCTGTCTGCAGCACAGAACTGATCTTATCCGTTCTCTTTTTTAGCCATTATTATATCCAATTCTAAACCGTGTGTTTGTGTGTGTGAGTGCCCGTGTTTAGGTGTGGCGCCTTGTAACAGTGAAGAAGACACTCAGCAGATGTTTCCCTTAGAGGTTTCTGCCCACTGACAATGACAGAAAAAAATTGAAGGACAAATGTAAAAACAAGGAAAGAGGGAATATTGGAGATGAAAAAGTCTGATGTCTAAGATGTCTACGGATGCCTAAGGAGGCACAACAAAGAGTGAATTTTGCTTTCTAAGATTTTTACAGCCAATGCTAGCCAGAGCAGTGCAATGAGTTCAATATGTAAAAGAGCCATGGAAGGGGAACAAGGGATACATCAAGCTTTAACAGACTCTGTCCAGGATGCATCCAGAAACACTAGTGAGATGCTAAATTTAACAGGACTGTTGATAATGTAACCGTTGGCCAGTTGCTAGCTAACGGGGACGCCGCTGGGTCCAAGATGAAACTCGACTCCTACCAAGACTCGGGTAATATCGACTGAACTCGTATAGGACTAAGGAACTTTCCTGGCCTTGGGGTTCCGACCCCAAATGAGTGAATGTTATCTGAGCTTAGTATGTGCTTTGCTAGTTTTCAGAATAACTTTGTTTAACAGCAGCCACATTTCCTTCATGACAACCAAGTAATTAAAACCACTAATACAAATGCAGTTTCATACTTCTCAGCAGAAAATATGACCAGTTCACCAATGAGGGGAACTGGGAAAGAGATTTGCCATCAAATACTCAACAAAATTATTTTTTAATTACTTTATTTGTGTTCAAAATGTAAGTTAGGTTTTGGATTTCTACTCAGCCGTGGCTGATCAGGTTTCAGAATCAAGGAATGCAAAAGGAAGGTGAAGTGAAAGGTATGGTCAAATATGTCTTTTTTTTTCCAACTTTAAAAGGAACATGCCATCGGAGAGAATAGGAGTAGAGAAAGCTGAAAGAGGAATAGATACCAAGAAAATGTATACAGTCAAAGACATGATGAGAAGCCTCCGGGTGTGAATGGAAGCCCTGCTGAGGAGAAACTAGTGTGAGCCTGTAGTTCATCTCCAAACAGCGATTCAGTCCTCCCTTCCTGCGGTCTCAGCCACAGCTCTGCCTCTACCTCTGAAGCAGCTCCAGGCCTGCAGCTCACCATATTGAAGGGAACCACGGGAGGGAGGGGGGGGGGGGGGGGCTTCAACAATCTCTCTGCCTCATTCTGTGTCCTAGCAGACACACACTGATCACTTTAAATCACCCGTATCTTGCTCCCACATTCTGTGACACAATTGGATATTTCTGCAGAGAATAATGTCATTGCATGACCTTGGGTGTTACACCTGTCAAGCAAATTATAGCGCAGGAAAGCAAACAGAATGTGACTTGGGTCTATTTTCATAATCACAGTGGAAAGACCTCTTGATCGTCAGAGAATTTGCTGGCATGATTGTGTTTGTTCAAGAGCTTGCTTTATTTCTCCTTTGGAGTAAATAGCAGATCATTATTTTCAAGCCTTGATTAAATGGCTTTAAAAGTCGACTTTTCCAGTCAAAAGAAATAATGAAAACAGCCCCCTTTGAAAGCTTTGTTTATGCAACTTTCAAAAGATGGAAAGCTACAATTTTAAAGTATCTTAATGAAAAAAGCTACCAACCCCAAACGTCTCCTTTCTGTTTTTCCAACAGTAAATAAAGCGATTTCAAATTAACCGGACTTCTATCTGACAATTACTATGATTGCATTTAGTCCTCAAGAGTCTGGTGTAAGAGACGGGTCCCTAGCAACAGCCTGCCCTTCATAGCAACAGTCTGCTATCGAGGAATAGCAGACTGTTGCGACGTGTAATCGGGCAATCAGAATCAACTATTTAACACAGTTACTTATTTTTCATCACTACCAGAGTATACTTTCTACCCTGCTCAAACTGGTTTTAACAGTTTAATGATGATGGTTAAGTTAAGTCATGGATGTAAAATTCCCCAAGTGCATCTTATCCGCTCGTCCTCTCTCACATACATCAAGAGACGCGTTTCACAGCTATATCGACCCTGTAGAATGACACATCCCTTGTTGAACCAGTTTATGATCAGCTGGTCAAACCTAACAATAAATACAGTACATGGTGATCTGAAAGAGCTGTATTGTTTTATGCATTTGTTCTATAAAGTAAATACCATTAAGGAAGGAAGGAAGTTTCTTGTCATTGTAGTAGTCTAAAACAAAATGAAGTATGGCAATTTCAATAGAAGCAGCATTGAAAAACCACAGAAACACAAGACAAGAAGACAAATATCTAAGGTTTGCATACAAACTTTAAAGTCACTGTATCATGGATAGTCATGTGTATATATCTATATCTGCTAATATTGTACCAGACATATTCAGTGAATCTTCAACATAGTGACACTGTGAATGAGTTCAGTTGAGTAGTGAGAGACTTGTAGGGGGACGTAGGTGCTGAGCACAGGCTGACACAGCTTCCTCTCAAACTGTTCACTCAGCATCAATGAGTGAGGGACCCTAAATGGCTACTGTGAGGACACAGGCCATCTCCGCTGAGTGTTTATAAAAACAGAAACAAACAAGAGTTGATTGGCTTTGGGGTTATTGAAACTGTTCGTTTGAGCAAGCTAATGTTCTTTCTGAGGCGTAAAGCAAATTGTCCAACTTCTACTTAATATGACTCTAAGCTTTTTGATAGAGTGTTGTCAAAACAGAAAGTTT